TAATATTCGTAATTATGCCACATCCCCCCCCACCCTCACCTACCTACCCCCCTGTGCTCCTCGTCCGTTACCCTCCTAACTATCGGCCGCTTCGCTTCTACCGGTTACTTTCGTCGTCCTGCCGAAGACCGGGATTTAACGAGATAAGTTGCAATCACGACATCGGGTAGGTATTAATTTCCCTCCGTTTCAATTTGTTTCGCTTTTCTCTGCTTGCGAGAGAGGGTGGGGGAAAGGTCGAGAATATTCGAACGGCCCCAACAGGATTATAGGAGTAGGATAAAACATCGCACATTTAACAAATATCGATCGCCATTGATCGAAACACAGTGGCGGATCCAGGAGTCTTTCTTGATCGAATGTGTTTAAAGTGCATAAATACATTTTTGAACTTTCTTTTATATTTGAACGAAACGTAATTAATATTTCAATATTATGAGTACCTGAAATTAGGTAAGTAATAATGGATTAATGAATAACAGGAGTACTCGAAGCTATTGTAATCATTAATCACGAAGTGATTACACTTTTGATTGCGGTGGAATCGGTACTTTAATGGTAATAATGATACTGGGAATATATTTTGGAAAATACATATTTATTAAATAATGAAATGAACAAATTTATTTAGACAGTAGGAAGTTATTAAAACTATGATCTTGATAGAGAAGTATAATTTTTCATTCTATCTAACAGTTTATATGCCTTCGGTACCTTTATCATTGTTGCTTAAGAAAATAATTTCTCGACGGGAGCTGACGATGGCAATGTCGTATTGTATGTACATACATATATTTATTACCAATTCTAATGAAATATAAATTAACCATTCATTGAATAATTAATTATTTATGATTACCGATTTATATCAATAACGATTAATGATTGTAATGACCATGATTACTTTCAATAATCAATTACAGAAATAATCACAAAACAATCAATTACTGTCCAACTCAGCTCTTGGGGAAGGGTGATCGCCCCTATCACCCCCCTCTGGATCCACCACTATCGATACATCGATCTTAGCATATTCAATCGATTCTTACGATGTTTTTCGGGATAAATTAGGAATGTTAGAACAAAACTGCAACATTGTGCATGACCTCGTTGCTAACGATAATAGAGTTGGGATTTATTTGCGGCGTTGAGGTGACCCTCCATTGCTTCCGCCCTTACTAAAAACTGTCACGTTCAGGTTACCACCTGCTGGTCCCTGCTAATTGCCGCAACGGGACGCAGGGGATCGATACGTCGAAGATCCGATCTACAACCTCGGTTTCTCGCCACCTTCTGAAGACTCTATAAACGATTTTAGAAACTTCTGATAGACACCAAAGGCATAAAAGCACAGGTGAATATCATCGGGAAAAAACCGATTGATCCAGTCTCGCGATGTTCTTTTTTTGTTTCATTTTAATCGGTAATACACGACCCGACGATGGACGTCGCGGCGCCGGTTTTCGGCGTCGCGCGCGCCGTTAGTACGGCCAGGCGCGCAATCCGTGTCGGAGTCCGCGAAACACATAATTCCATACCTAAGAGAGACGCTCAATGGGCCGGAAATTACGCAACGGAATTTGCGACTTCTCGTCCACGCGAAAGCCCGCTGTCCAAATAGAAAATGGATTAAGAGCATCGAGGTACAGTTTCGAAGCTGAGTCGCAGATATTATCGGTAATAGCGCAATTATGATAATGGCGGGTAATTCTGCACAAAATTCAGATAGAGAGAAAGAGGGGTAGGGGGGGACGGATGGAGAGGTGGGGGAGGAGGGGGAGCGATGGAGAGACAGTACAGACGAACTGAGACTGCTAATGAAGGAAACAGTTAGATTCAAACGGCCTCCCAATAATTATCCTGCCAGCCATCCATATTATAGTCTTGACAATGCGCGAAATTGTTCACACTTCCCTTGACAATACATCTAACGCTCCGTAGTTCCTAGATGCTGGGATGCAAAGGGGGACGCCTCGACACATCGAGGGGGGGGGGGGGGAATTAAGAAGCGAACGATTCGGTGTAGAACTAAATGATGTATTGTTAAACATTTCAAGATACAGGTAGGCTCGAAGATGAATTACGTGTCAGCTACGTACTTACGCATACTACCCCGTCTTTGGCCGGGAACCGATTTTCGCTATACTTACCACATATCACGGAACAGCCTGTATAATCGGATTTCGAACAATGTTCCGAACGAAAGCGTCGTACTGTTCCTGGAAAGGTAACCCCGTTGTCTTGCCCTTAAATATGGTTGTGTTAAGCAGTTGCGCCTTTGCGGTTGGATTATGTGGTTAGAGAAATGCGTTAAGTGGATTAGTGAATTATTCTGCATCGCTCATTGTCTGATGGAACTTCCCAAACAGTTGGCTGTGGTAGGGCACGTTCGAACGAGAAATAATAAATTGGAAAGTTTCCTTATGCGCAACTACCGTTCGTTTATTTAAAAGAATCGTAACGAATGCTGCCACCTAAGAACCTTGATTATTTAGAAAAAAAAAAACCTGTAAGATACGTTCTTTACTATCCAATATTTGTTTTTCCCTATATGCTCCTGTAAACCGTAAGATCGTATACATACATCGACGATGCATGTGGTAACTCTGTTATGTTATAGGTGTTAGTCTCCATCTGTATTCGAGCGTGCATATAGCAGATTCGTGATTACGGACCTCTTAGGAAGAAATATAATCAGACCGATGAATGCACGTCGAACGATCGTTTGGACATGTAAATTCATGTCATCGGGAGGGGCGGGTTTGAACCACCGAACCCGTGAGCCCGGCGTTCGGTGTTGATGTGTTGATATTAGTAGAGCTAATTTGATAGTTTAATCAATTTCCGCAAGCCGACGGGAGTTTAATGGTGATGTCATCATTTTCAACGGGATACAATGGGGTTAATCTCGCTCGACGAGCTAATATTCGGAGAGTTAACAGAGTTTCAAATGCAGGCAGGGCCGTCATTTGCTCGTATCCGTTCGCGGCCGTGCGCGCGCTAGCCAGACAAAGTTTCATTTTTCGAAATATCCGTGAATTCGACGCCAGTGAATATCGTCGAACTACGTAAGAATCTACCAACTACCGACATAATCAGATATATTCTCAATAGTCATTATGTCTCATGACAATGTAACATCACAATAATACTCGATAAAAGATTAATTATCATTCCAAAAAAAAAGAATACAATTCCACACTTGTTCCATAATTCGTAGAACGTATCTAGAATTAACAATCGAAGTTGTCAAATCTTTTCACACTACAATATCGATGTTACACAAATACATACTTGGTTCAATAACCGTCGATGCATTTTTCTTTATTTATTATTAAAACGGTCGATAAAAATCCCAATCACAAACCGGTTCGTTTCTGTTGACCTCCATCCCCGTAAAGAAACGATCGTACGATCGTTTAGGAAGGATTTCTATAAGAAACAATTTTATACAAAATAACGATAAAACGTTGAGAAGTAATAATGTCGATATCAACGATCGATTAAACGGAAAGTCAGCACGGAGGCGGCGGTCGGAAGCGTCGTTTGCAAACGACGATAAAGAATTCCCATACGATACGCTCGCCGCGAAGCCGGGGAAAAAATCAAGCCCGGATAGGTCGGGGGGGTGGGCACCAGCCAGAAGAGAGGGATGCCGGATTACCACCGACGGAATTAAAGATTCACAGGCGTGTTTCGCAGTTTTCGTTCGAGCGGCCCTGCATGCGAATACTCGGAGCGGGCATATTAGGTGGAGGCACGCAGTTAGGCAATAACCGCTGTCAATAGAACCCGGCCTCTCTTCCTCTCCTGGAGTGGCCCCCACTCGAAAATGCTACTCGCTAAATTAGGTAGGTTATATGGGCTTCGTTTCATTTGCGAGCAAACTTTAATAAACGCTAAAATTGCGTAAAAGAGCAAGGTTTTCAGACGAGCGAATCAGGGTCGGGGGTGATCCCTCCTCGTCGACGGACGTCCGCATATATACGCGGAGTTATGCCGCTTCGGAAACTACCGAATCGGAATTTTTTCTTCTCATTACGCCACCCCCTCGGTCGCTTTTTGTTTACAGAGAAATGTAGACGAAACCTCTCAGTTCTGATTATATTTGGGAATTAATCGCGGTAAGTAGCTCGATACGAGACAAAAGATTGCACTCCGTTATCGTCGATACCTGAAGCAGGCATAATATGGTTTGCTACAATAATTTTATCGGTTAGTATTTCTTCGCAATCGGTTTCTCAACGGAGAAATCAACTTATGCTGTTTTAAATAATAAAGCGAGTTTCAAAAGCTATTCCTTATGAGAAAAAATATTCTATCGCCTTCTATCGGTCTGTCGCCATCCCAAAAATTATTATTTGTATTATATCAAAGAGCGTGGTATTTAATATACCATTACTCCATGTTAATTATGTTTATTTGAATTACATAATATGGACACTAGATAGCAGTTCATGAATTTTTGTTTGTTTGACTTAAATTAGTCTTTTATACATTCATAATTGTTCTTTATAGTTCATATAGTAATTAATAATTAAACGCATGTCACGCTATATGTTTTTCATGAAGCTACTACGGCTGTAATATTAATAGTTTATAAGTATATATGCAAACAGTAGTGAAATTATTTTTTGTAAATTCAGAGAAGTACATATGTACATAAATATATATTTCGATATGTACAATAGTAAAATAATTATTGAGAAAAGAAATAACAAATTCTGAAACTAATTGTTACAATGTATTAATACTAATATGTTTCCGAATAACACATATGAATTTCATTAAGATTCTTTATATTTACAAATTCATAGATTTTATTCTAAACGCACAATCGAATGAACTCAAATTGTGACGTTATTGCCATCTGCTCACCATCTCGAGAAATACATACTGATAGGTGAGAAGAAATATGTACCATATTGTGATAAAACAATTTCGTTCAGAGACCTCTGTCATTTTCTCCAAAACCTTGAGTATCTGAAGCAATTGTCAACTTTCTTACATTAAGGTTATGACTTCGACGCGCATATTACACAAAGACAGTGGTTTCATATAAATGATAAGTATTTTCATTTTCAAAAATGAGTCTTGTTGCATACGGCAGCAGCGATGAAAGTTCGGACGATGAAGGAATCAGTTCTGACGCAGAGAACATTAACAAAACTTCAGAGACAACCGTAATTAAACAAACAAATGACAAAATGTGTTTACCTGCGCCGAAACATAACACGTTCGCAAAAAAGGTTAACGAAAATGATACAGACACGGGTGAAAAAATACATTTTGATAAATTGCCCAAACCAAAATGCGCAATTACCGAACCAGAAGAAATCATCGAAAATGATGATATTCCTCCAAATAGAGAGGTCGAATTCAAACCTGAGAAGCCTATCAAAAAGGATCGTGCACCAGTTAAAATAACAGTTCCCTGTTTATCTGATGTATGTACATTAATTTTCTTTTTCTTAAAATACTTTTAATTAAATGCACTTACATTCATTAAATTATTATATTGAACTTATTATAGTTCAAAGATATTGAAGAGGAAAATGAAACGAGGATCAATAAGATTAGGCCTTCTAGTGTAAGTATAAGTAAATATACATATAAACATTAGCATTCTCTAAAATAAAATAATATTTATCTATGATTTCAGAAGGGTACTAAACTCTTTGCACTTTTACCACCACCAAAGGGAGTTGAACTTAAAAATACTAATAGTTTAATCCCTAGTGTTGTGAATAAAACTGTTGCAAAAACCAGCCAAACAAAAGTTCAAATAACTAGAGACATTGCTGTAAAAAATTCAATTACAAACAAAGTAACAAAACCTGCCAAAACTAAAAGTTGTATAGAGATAGCTTATAGTTCAAACTCTGAAGATGAAGATGACGGTACTACTTCAACTACAGATTTCTTTGCTCTAACAGCTACTGACACTCCCATTGTATCTGAATCTTTAATGAATGAATTATGCTTGAAAGAATCATCAAGTACATTCAATTCATCTGTTAAACATGATTTGAACAATGATAGTTGTACTGACAACTGTTCACCTGATGGTTCTACTAAAACTATAGAAGAAATCAGTACTAATATTGCTCAGAAAACATTAGTGAGTAATGTCATGAACTTGCCAAAAGAAGAGATATTACTTAAAAATAAAGCAGAGGTAGGTCCAAAATTGCCAGTACCTGAACAGGAGTATAATGTTGATACAGAGGGCAATGTGGCCTTTGATGATAAAGCTATTGAATATCTTTGTGGAAGGAGAGGTGTAAAGCGAAAGACTAAAGAAATTGACGAAACAAATATCATTGAAATAAATGGTGAAGATATTAAACCAGATGAACGAGAGTGGTTAGTGAAAGCACTGACAGAAGAACCTGTACAAAGACCAGTTTCTATGATGGGTGGAGTAAATTCACAATCTAAAAAGAAACACCAGATCACATACTTAGCACAACAAGCAAAGGCAATGGAAATGGAGTTGAAGAATCAGTGGGCACAAAACAGGATGACCAGAAAACAAACACAATCAAAATATGGTTTTTAAATAACGTTGCTTGTATAAAAGATATAAATATAACATTATTTATTATTGAACAAATAAATTTACAGAAGAGGCATACTGAAAATATTATACATTGTTAAGAATAACTTGTCTTCTCTAAGAATGTCTTTTCTAGAGTTTCATATTCCTTCTGCTTAACTTCAAGTAATGCTTTAGCTTGTAGTAAGTTTGGTGGTAAATCTCCGTATTGGCTAAGGCATTGATTAACTTCAGCTAGTTCACCCCGTAGTTCTATGTACCTATCATATTTATTTAAGATTTTTTGTGGATAAAGATCATCAATTTGCATGGTTGTTAGCTCAGCTTCTAGCTTCTCCACAGTTTGCTTATATTCTTTCAACTTTGTAGACCATAAAACTTGATTGCAATAATTATCCTCTTGTTCCTTCTGACTATCTTCCACAGATCTTTCAAGAGAATTTACATTCTGTTGCATTTGGTTGACCATCTTTGACAATTTGGCATGAGTCCTAAATAGACTATCGTACTTTGATGCCATCCACTTTTCTTGTCGTTGTTTGTTCTTTTCTTGTATTTTCTTTTCTTCACACACTATCCTCAGTGCACAATCGTCGAGATCGGACAATTTTTCAAACCTTAAGATTAAAGCTACTTTTTGCAATCCTTCTTTGATGTCACTGGGTAAGGATTGTGGCTCCAGATTTAACTTGGATAACAATGATAAAATTTCTTTTGTAAATGTAACATTCTCTTCGGTTGTTTCAGAAATTCCCATTTGTACAAACTGGAGCAACGAATGTTCCTCTGGAAAAATACTATCCTCACGATATCTCGTACTTGAAGCTGTACTGGAGACAGAATCATTGTGCAAGGATGATCCTACCTGTCATTTTAATTTTGTTTATAATTATTCGAAATTGTAATTCTCTCGACTACAAAATTAAATAACATCCTTTGTTGTCCAGAAAATGTAATAGTATGCACAAAACTTACCTCACTATTACACTCCATACTGAGGGTAAACACAGGTAAACACGGTAAACACCGTAAACACTGGTGAACACCACTGGACAGTCATTCAATTAGAAAACCGTTACAACTTGCGCGCTTTCAGGGGAGTTCCTAAATACATAAATTCTCGACGATCCGCACCTTACGAAAACCAAATATCTCTATTAAGGAACAGAAATATAATACGTAAGATTATACTGACGTTATCTTAGTGATATTATATTCCACACAACTATTCGATATCTCTCAAAAAATTATTGTAAAGACTACCTCCAAAATACAGTTATCTGAATGATATCTCTCTGGTAACTATTTTCAAATATCTGTAACAATGACTTTCTTCAGATGTTTTACGGACATCTGCAGCATGACTCTGGCTAAGTGGGATATTGATTCGAATTCAATGCAATCAATTGAATTCGTTTAAAGTTAATATTTATTCTCTAAACACAAGAGAAGATTCAATATAAGAAAAATCCGTGAAATTCTATTCAAATTTCAAATGTTTAAGACTCATTTCCACGTCGAAGAAGAGCGATCGTGTCTGATGCAAATTTTCTTTAACTATTTCGGTCGACTGAGAATGCATATGTGCACTTTACTATTAGCAGATTTGATGAGAGATAGCTTATGTAAGGTGACAAGCAACGTGTGTTCGCGAATCGTTATTTAAACTACGATTTTTATCGACTCAGTCTGTCATGCAAATCCGCACCTAGAACAAATTCCGGTAACGGCCGCCTGGAAACCCATGACCTCGTGCGAATCATTGTGCTCAATTGTGCTGTCTCTCGTGTACCGTGTACGCTTTCATTGACAGTTATTTGTTTTCGGTAACGACGAGGCTTGGAAAACTGTGGTTTTTACGTAGTTGTTCGCCTAGAAATCAAGCTGAAGCAGAGTACATCAGTGTCACCGCACTGCGTACTTAATTCGTTAGTGTGGAAACGCGTATTTGAAAGGTGACTAAGGAAGCCTAAAAACGATCACCGTAAAAAGTGGTTAGAAACAGTAACAATGAGCGACGATCAAGGAAACGAACTGTCTCAAACAGTTGAAGTAAGGTTCACTATAAACAGTTATTCATTTATTTGTTTTAATAACAAAAGGATATCATATTCGTTATTTTAATTTAATTTCAAACATTTCATCGAATGAAAGGAACATTTAAGTATAAAATAATTTGTAAACTGATAAGTATAATTAAAAAAACGAATATGTACGCGGTATATGTTTTTACTGTATGAAGCAGTGTTAATAATACATATTTGAATGTGTATGGACAATAAGCTTTTGTTATTGCATGAAAATGTCTTTGAATATGTAATTTGTATACAAAAATAAGAATATATCTTTGTTTCAGTTGACTTCGAATGATATTGAAAAGTTAGAAGAAGCAAAATTAAGAGCAAAGTTTCCAACTACTGGTCGTCCAATCAGTGGACATTCAGCATTTCTGCAGAAGAGGCTAGCCAAAGGGGTATGATATAAATTTTACATATTTAATTTTCAGTTTATTACATAGATGCATTCATAGATTAGAATGCTTAGCAATAATAATATTATTCTAATGACTAAGTAAAATTAGTTTGGATAATCAAAAGTTTCTAAGAAACATGAAAAACACTTTCAGCAAAAATATTTTGATTCTGGGGATTATCAAATGGCAAAACAAAAATATACAGCTAAACCAAAGCCAGCTGGTGTTTTGCCAACAGGTGATGCTATACCTACACCTGAAACTGTACCACAACGAAAAACATCTATTATTCAACAAAAATTTAATACCTCGAGTACTTCATAAGCTTATTTTGTAAGATATTCAAAGTATTGCAACTCCAGTGATACAGTGCGATTGTATGCAATCCGAATTTTAAACAATCCAATGTCTTTATACTTTATAGATGATATTATTTTAAAAGTTTAATTTTTTTTTAATATTTCGTAGATGCTTGTCCAATGATCAGATCTTGAGTATAAAAAATTTATGTTCACAGTAATGTATAGAATCTTTAATATTATGTGCCATAAGAGTTTTTTTTAGAGTTGTTTTAAAGATTTTTTAGGCACTCGAAAGAAGTAGAACAAATTATGATTTATAACTTTTTTATTACACATTAAACATTATAGTTCTGATCTATCGGTAAACACAGGAGTGTTAATATACAAATAACACTCGCACATCATTTAGTTATTTGAGTTATTTTTATGGACAGCAATAAATTTGAATCTTAGACTCAAAAGTGTATGAAGGGAAAGTAGGATTTCAAAATTTGTTGTACAAATAAGTAATGAAGCTAGATGTTTAGGTAATACAAGGAAAAATATGATTGGTGACAGGGAATTATAATGTAAATGTAACCACTTGTATATGCAATTGAGATTCAGGATAAGACATTTTACAGATCTGCATTTCCAAAGTTGCTGTGATGTGCTTAGCAAGACTATTTTCTTATAAGATGTCAGGTTGTCATAAGAATCTGTATGTAGCATAAAACAATCTTAAATATAGCAGTTTGGTTATTGTAAACTATATTAGTAATATATTGCTATTTAAACTGAATATTTGTTCAATTACTTATCCACCACATGATAATGAGAAAGAAAGGAAATACTTCTGCAGTGAACTCCCACTTTATTATACATCCGTGTGTTGAAATATCTAGAAATCCTAATAAATTTATTTTGTTGTATGAATAATAAACTGAGTATTTAATGATATATTTACCTGTACTTGAAAGAAAGGCTAATATATTTTAAAATAAGTGCACTTACGAATAAAATGATTACAATAAAATGTGTTTGCTTGTATCATTTTTATTGTAACATCACCTATAATTTTAAGGTTTTTGTTATACATATTGTTCAAATAATATGTTTCTCATAACATAAGTACTTGCATACAATAATAACAGAAAAAAGTATGTGCACCATATTTTTAGTCTACAGTTTTCAATACAAGTTTCAATTGCTTTATTTCATGAATAATATCTATATATATAGTATATATACTTCATACTAAGTAGTTCATTTGTATCCCAACAAAATATATTCAGTCGAACAGAAAACATGAGCAGCTATAATTATTTATATTACTAAACATAAATTACTTGACTTATGTATGACTTAAGTAACATTTCCCATTGACGTGTTAAATATATATTTTTTATAAAAGTGTAAGTGCTAATAGTTTAGTAGTACATAGTATACATTAATTCTATTAAATAATAATATATGTGTATATATATATATATATATGTATATATTATTTGTACTCATACACACAGAGGCACTTAGATATCATATTGCAAAAATTCATAAATCTTTACTTTTCCTAATACCATATTCGAATATATTAACTAAACATAATAAGAATTTTTTTTATTGTCAGAATAATTAACGCATTAGTGACAAAGTACTTTGTTCCAACGAATTGTATAATTTTATTATACCAAAAAATGTATAAACCGTTTGTTTTTAAATTAGAATTTATATTTAGTATGTATTTTAAATTTTCTGCATATTGTGTGCCAATTTTTAAAAAATAATTTATACATACTTCACAGCTTAATATAACAATAAAGCTCCTTATAAAATATACAATTATTCAAGCTCAAGATTAATTTACTCTTGTTCAAGTAGTTACTAATTAGGACATTGCTATTTGATCCAAAGAAGAAATTTAAATTGTACTTTCAAAATTGAATGTTTGAAAAATGTGTAAAATAAACTGCCTTTACATTACTTGTTTTTTTTTACTTGTATAATATCACAATTATTTTAAATATTAAAGCGTTTTATATAGGCTGATTGGCAGTTGCTTCAATATGTACTTTTTGATAGTATTGGAACTTTTTTTAGGATACATTTTGCACAGTTTGATGTAACATATTTACTTGTACATATCTTCTATCAGGTCTTCATACATTTTGTGGACAACATTCCGCTTTACTTTAAGTGTTGGGCCTAATTCCCCGGTTGGTACTGAGAAATCATGTGGCAGAAGTTTGAATTTCTGAACTTTCTGTGCATTACTTACAACTTTTGCGTTTGCTCTTTTAATTGCCTTATCAATTTCATCATATACCTAAAACGAGTAGAATTCATATGTATTATCGTATATTACAGACAACGTATTGTGAATAAAACAGACTATCGTAGTTAACGACGGTAATCAACTTACAAGTGGGTCATGCGTTCTTATGACTTCTGAAACTGTTGTTGCCTTGCTTCCAATAGATTGCAACCATTGCGAAGCTTCTGGAGTAAACGTATCTTCTGGTGCACCTGTTTTATTGTTCATCTCAGTCTGAAAGCACGTCCATAACAAAACCATTAAAATAACATTCGTGTAATTTATAATAATCTCAATATTATGTTCTTACCTTTAGAGTTACCAATATAGTGAGGTACTTTCTTTTGTCTCCAATTAAGAGAGCATTGCTTAATACGGGTAATTCAGCTAATACTAATTGTTCTATATGGACTGGCGGTACATTCTCTCCACCAGCAGTGATAATCAATTCTTTAAGTCTCCCTAAGAATTACAAGAATTATCTTGAAAATGTCATCATTGAATCAAAATAGTGTATATTTGTATTATTCAAAACGCTTACCTGTGATAAACAAATATCCATCTGAGTCCACCTTGCCCGCGTCACCAGTACGCAACCATCCATCTGGATCTATAGCTTCTGCAGTTTTTTCAGGGTCATTTAAGTATCCCATAAATATATGTCTACCACCCATACACATTTCTCCTTCATTAGAAGCATCTGGATTATCTACTTTCGTAGAAAATGAAGGTAATCCCCGTCCAACAGAACCTAGTCTAAACACATATAACGGTATTGCACATTACTCTTCAACTTGTATACAATGCAAATGTAATAATTTATCTATGCAAATAATATTTACCTATAATGTGTGTTTGTACCTAAAGTGTGTGCACCACTGCTTTCAGACATTCCATATGCTTCTAATATAAGAATATCTAAGCTTAAAAAGTACTGTTTAATTTCTTCACTCAAGGGTGCAGCAGCAGTAATGCATACTTTACATCTATCTAAACCAAGTGCTGTTTTCACTTTGTTAAATATTAACCATTTAGCAAATACGTAGCCCCAATGCTTATAGTCATTGCCGTTTATTTTGTTCATATAGTAATAAAGTCCCTGTGCCTTTGCCCAAGAAGAAATCCAATTTTTTATCGGACCATTATTACGTGCAATTGTTTGCATCTTTTCAAAAATCTTTTCCCATACTCTAGGTACGCCTATGAAAACGGTAGGTCGTGCTACAAGTAGAGTTTCGATCAAACTACCCTTTAATGCGTTTTTATCTGCAAAATATACTGTCGCTGCTACAGTCATACAGCAATATATGTCAACTATCTGAAATTTGTTAAAAATATTATGTAAATTAATGTAATCAATTTGAATTTGCGTGTGTAAAAAGCAGTTGTTGTGTTTACCTGTGCTGCAACATGAGATAATGGTAAATAGCTAACTAGAACTTCTTCTGTGGCCACCAGTTCATAACTGTGAACAATATTTTTTGCGTCATGTACAAGATTATCATGACTTAACATCACAGCCTTTGGGTGCCCAACTGTACCTGACTACAAGGAAGAAATATATATATTTATTTCAATTCTTATTTATTACACGTTCTCGTAAAATTATTAAAAATTGGACATGAGTTTTCATACCGTATAAACCAAAGTACAGCATTCATTCACACCGATTGTCCTTAGAACTGCATTCAATTTATCATCAGGTTCCTTCTCCCCTATTTTTAACACATCTTTCCACTAAAATGGAAGAATCATTACAAAATACAAGTAAACGAGAAATTGCATGTTGTATAAAAAGTTACTCACACTCAAAACATCTTTTTCTTCCGATTCTCCGTCATACATGATAATTGCTTTCAAGTGAGAAAGATTCTTCCTTATTTGTAATATTTTCTCCAACTGTTTTTTATCTTCCACCACTATTATATTTGCTCGACTGCTTTCAGCGCAGTATTGACATGCTTCTGGAGTGTTTGTTGTGTATATTCCCGCGGCCAATCCTCTGAAATGATAGAGTAATTGAATATACAATTTATAGTGTGTTTTAGAGTAACTCGAAGTAAATCTTCAAACGTATATTCATCTCTACCCTGCATATATAGCGGCAAGGTCTGAAATAAGCCATTCCGGACTGTTGAATCCCAGAATACAAACACTATGATGCCGTTCTAAACCCAGTTTCAAGAAAGCCTTAGCAACGATCCTCACTTGAGTCTCGTATTCTCTGAAAATAGAAATTTAGGAAATAAATAGAGTCCTATTAGACATCCGTTTAAAAATATAATTGTAAAATCTGTACTTGAAAGTGTACGTCTTCCTCTCGCCGTCAGCGTCAGGTCTCGTTACGAATGCGATCTGATCGGGATAAGTGTTAGCTGTTTTTGTTAATAATCCAGGCACCGATATAGGCGGCGTGGAACCTATACCTTCTTTATTTATTTTGATTTGCACCCGTCCATTCGGTTGCGTTGTGACTGCCGAGTGCGCGGGCAAGACTTGATCAGGTCCTATAACAGTAACAGATTAGAAATTAGAAACACATTCCGACAGAAATGTTGTTAATCGGCTTTTTGAGCCGAAAATTATTCAAATACACACCATCAAGACCGGTCTCGTTGCACTTCGCATAATAAAAATCCTTTTCCTAAAGAAACATTAATCGAATGGTTACTTAATGCAACTTTTGTTTCCTTCGTTTTTCGTAAGTTCATGTTACTGTTACCTTGTCGTTTGCAGCAAAACCCTTTATCACTCCATTCGATTGTACCGGCTGCACCGTAGTCATGTTATCTGAAATAATAAATAACAAACAGTTAATCGATCGAAAATGATTGTTAATTATCGAGGTAGCTGAGATATACATAAATTCATAAATTTCAATTGAACACGTGTAAACGTTTCGCGTACGGTTGATCAATGTAGGTGAGATAATTCAAATAAAAAAACAATCGTTTAAAAATATTTTAATTTATTCGATTATGTGTACTAAAACACGAACAATATTTTACTTTTGATAATTTAGATAACTATGTTTTGATTATAAATACACGAATTTTTCATCACTTTCCAAACTATAACGAACAGAATCCTCGCACAACGAGACACCAGAAATATTTATTTTCTCCTAAACAGAGCCCATTTTCGTTGGTGCTCTTTCATTCCAGCAAGCAGTAGCAGGATAGAAGAAAAAAAAGGTTTCACATCGGATTAGATTAGAACGAACCTGGATATAAAAAGAGTTCAGATATACGGGATATATCGGTTCAAAAGATTACGTTTCTCGCGTTAAAAACGATTGAAGTTCAGTGAGCAGCATTTGTAATTTATATTTTCCAACCACTAGGGACGCGTGACGCTCCAGTTTCGTGCCCAGGCGACGAGGAAAATTCAAATCGGGTCTGAAGGAAGTCCGATCGAAGCGTGAAAATGTTCAATGCGGTCGCGAGTCTACCGACACACACACACACAAAAAAAAAAAGAAACTTCAATTAAGTATCCTTTATGACGATTCTATTTTGATACTATTAAGTATGTGAGAAGATCGAAAAGGAAACGATTTGCTACCTAAGAGTACGATGATACTCCCTTCTTAAATCCACAGATTTCTTATTTCGATCACCACACAAGACCTCCTTGTTCTCCGATCCACGATTCTCGATGCTCTGATCAGCACTATTTACGTTCTGTGAACCTGTTTGCTCCCGAGAATCATTGTTTATATCCCCGGTGAATACTTTTATCGGTGACTGTATTACATGTACCGCGTGTTTCATGTTCTATTCCTTTGTTGGCCTTTTTTTACACTTCGGCACATCAGGCGACGCGCGACCAAAGTGCAATTGATAGATATTAACATTTACAAACGTTCGCGTATATTACGTAAACTATCGATAAATTGGTGGCGAATGCTGGATACGGGAGAGAAGATGGCTTTGTATGCGCTGACCCTGACTGCAGCCGATGCAGGGTTGTCTGATCATGAATTGCAACCGGCGAATTCGTTCAATTTATGAATGACTATGTATTTGCTGTATTAGCTACCTATAGAATAATCCGATCTATTGATACAATAACACCGGGAACGTTTATTATTCCGTGTCGTTGACATCGTTAACTCTTAATGAGCGCAATTGCCGTTCGAAATCCAGTGAAACTAGCCAATTTCGATTACATATCGACCTATATAAGAAACTGATTATCATCAAATTTTTCGATTGTATCAAAAACTATAGATCGTGTTGACGAAACTTTAAAGAATCCTTCGAAATTATCCGTTTCTTCTTTACAATTGTAATGCGCGTTTATAGTTCTAATACCTACACTCTATGCCCCGAAGGTCGTGGCTGCTTATTTATTTAAAAACAACTGCACATCGTGTGATCAATCTGGATAAATAATTTCGTTTGTGGTACATACTTTCGTCACTATATATTCTACCAATGATTTCATGTACAAATTTTTGAAATATGAAAAATAATGACAGGAACAATTATTTTGTAAAGTTTATCCGCAGAATTAGTAACAGGTGGGTGTAGATTTCCAAACATTTGGAACAGATTTGTAAAAAGCAGAAAAATGAAAGAATATCGGACTACGGGAATTATGTTCAATTCCCCTTTCGTTTTAATTACTTACTGACAAACGATGTAGAGTTTATAATACAGAATTTGTTGATTTTATCAATTAATAACAGCCGAAATTAATGCATTATCGACAGGTGAATTAAGGTATTTTCAAACCTTTATAACGAATTTTAAAAAAAGAACGTAGTAAAGCACCGTTGTCAATAAATTATTAATGTTATGTTGACCCATGGAATATAGTCTCGAGTATCCCACCCATTGAGATGTGCACTGACGTGTTGGAAAGTGTCTTTGCTTTTAAATATCACGCAAATTCAATTGAAATTACTTGCCCCGTGGATAATAGATAGGTTAATCATATTTAAATGTAGGAAGTACCTTTGAAAAGTAGAATAACCATCTTGACGGATCTCGGAGTATCGTAGTGCGTTGTAAGTGAAACAAGCGAAGCTGACAGACTCGCGAAGATCAATAATAGAACATCACACCACCTTTCGGCGGTAGATTTAAGCACAGAATAGATCTTTTCTGTTTGTTCGTACTTGTGTTTTAAATTAAACTTGATAAACTCGTGTAAATGGGCAATAGTCTTTCCATAATAGAGGATGTCTGGCAGATTTACGTAACATCTTTATGACAACAAACAGGACGGAAGTATTACATAAATAGTACGCGAGGGTTCATTACTATCGCCATAGTAACTCCACGAAACACCCTAAATATTGAAACAATGAATCATTTGTTATTATATTCACATTGCCAATAATAAGTAATAAAATCGTCACAGTTTTGGAATATTTGCATAATAATTGAAGACTACCATAATGCGCCATTTCAGCGAATAATACGGTCACCAATTCAATCAACAGTTTCAATAAAGAAACACCTCGAAAATATTAAAAACATTCGGAATCAGTTCGAACGTACCGGACTCGTTGATACTACATATTTTTGTTGCACGTAAAACGTGCTGAGAAAGTTTGTTACCGAAAATTTTAAAACGGTATGTTTAAACTATCATTTACATTACAACTGTGTGTTGTTCGCATAACGTGTTGAAGTTATAGAGAATGGTACACAATATTTAACGCAGTACTTAATCGCTTGTTTATCGTATTTTAAATGTAATAATGGATTAGAACGAGTTATATGACTATGAAACCCGTTATGATAACAATGAATTGTAATCTGGTGTACGTAAACATAGAAAAGCCGGCTAGAAGACGTACAGAAAATTTAATAATTGTGACCTCGGTTGTATTATGTAAGGAAGTACGTGTTCGAGGAGTACGTAATTACATGTAAATGTCTACTTTAATATATACTTTTAAAAACTGAAGAGAAAAAAAAACAAAACGAAGACATAACCGAGAAGGATGACGAGACACACGAAACCCGGAAAAAAATGGATGTTGGGTCAGACGATTTACGTCGGTCAGCTGCGTCATTTGAGCAGGACATTATAAACGATACACTGACGTCTGAAATGATCTACGTTAGGAAGATACAGGTGCACATGACGGCATTCAAAAATATAAAAAAAAAAAGAACAGCCATCGAGCAGGTCGGTAAACGCTATTTAATGTTAAAGAATGATTTGAGAGTGTCCAAAATATAATAAGTTAAATACTTTTATAAAACAAGAACATCAATACATTATCCAATATTAAAATTCATTTCACCATGGTGTAATTCTACTTAAAAAATGTGAAAAATGTTTCTACAATTTTAATAAATGCAGCCGCTGCTGGATAATATTCAACTTTACAGTTATTAAAATTACTCATGAATAATCTTTCAGGACACTTCAAAATATTGAATAATTAACACGGCGATGGAATCGTGATGAGTAAAAAAAAAAGAATAAGGAAACGTTCGAAGTAATATATGATTTCTAATAAAAAGTTATTCCATAATGAATTATCATAACGATGATATCATACGAATCCACGGGAAATTTCTAAATACGTAAATTCCAAATTTCACGAAGGTGTAAGAGCTGACAACGCTATGGTCGTGAACATTTCTTCTAGGTATTGTGATTGTTTTTTCGCAGTGTTCCGTTGAAGAAGGTACCGGGTACCGTTAAACGTCGGCGATTCGTTTGAACACAGAAAATGGATCTATGCGCTCGAATAATTTGCTTTATGAAATTATCGAACGATGGCCAGCTACGAGCATCAACATGTTCCCAATACTCAATGAAAAAAACAATCGAAACGGATAATTAAAATATCACGGGAAAACCAATGTTTTTATATGTTAACAAATTTATTCATGGAATTCTATTGAGAAATTACAGGGACAAAAGTATTAATAATCACTGGATTGAAATCAGAGTTCAATCTTATAGCATAACTAATAATTAAGATTAATATGATTACATATGTCATTAACAAGACTAATGTAGTTTTTCTTGAATACAAGATTAAACCGATGAAGATTAAGAATACATTGATACAAAATAACATATATAAACGGATCGCGTTTATGATAATTTTAGATAAATGATCAATAATGACACGATCTGCTAATAGCTTTTAATATATGTAAAAAAGGAAAGATACATTCATATCTAAATAGCATCTGTTCTTAATGCTCACGCTTGTCATTTAAAGGTCCTGAAAATATGTGCACCATTGCAACGTTAATCTTGACATAGCTATGAATGTATTTTTCGAAATTCGTTTCGCAGTGCGGCAAAATGCCAATCGACATTGACTGGTAACTTATATTGTCTTTCGAATACTGTCACTCCATAAATTATTTTGTTTATTTTGCGTCCGGATGGACCAAGATAAAAAAATCACGCGATCGTTCGATCGGAACGGATTTTGGGCGACGCAAGAATTCAAGGAAACGCGTGAAGATTGAGCGAAGTACAATCGAGTGACAGGAGGAAAAAAAGAGTCCTTGGCTAAAACTCCAACGACTAATTTGCCTCGCCAAACTAAACCTCAAAACGAGATTGTTATCGCAGCCGAACGCAAAAGGTTAAAGGACGATCACGTGTTGACCGTGAACATGTTTCATGATCGACGGGCAGCGACCATCTCCCATATTATGCGACATACGCGATCTAGACTAAACGTAATTACATAGTATCTAGCAGGTGGAATCATTGAGATTTTCCATTGACGTTGAGCCTCACGATTGGTCGATTCCCGATGCTGGTGCGAACATACGATTCGAGGCAACCGAACACGCCAATAAACACTCTGTATCCTTTTTTCGAAGAATACATCGATAAAACGTCGACCAAATATGTATTTACTTTCTTTCGTTTTTAGAGTTCAGCACCGAACGGATCACATTATGCCCAGAATTCCATCTTAAAACGGGAAATATTTGAGATAAGAGGATATCAGTGGGAAACCATTGAAAGGTGGGGAACGATGTTACAACAACCCGTTACCGGCGATCACGCCACATCGGAATCCGCTCAGTGTTTTGAAATCAGTGCCATCTCCCGACATTCCGAATCTCGTGTAAATTGTAGATCTCAAGTGTTTCACGAATTTATTACATATTTCCAATCAAGGAACAGATTTTTTCGTACCCGACCAGCGATAAATCATAAGTGATTTCTGTAATGATTTTTATATGAAAATCGTGGCAATCGATTCATCGTCAGGTGTGTGTAAATATTAAGAGGAAAAAAAAATGTATTCAGTCGAATATCCTGGATGTTTTGTATAAAAAGTTGAATGACCGTTTCCAGTGAAATCTTCGTGCAAGCGCGCAAGCGTGGTATATTCACGCGACACATAAACGGACACGTTTGAGTATACATACCTACCTGATCGTTTCTTGAATTACAATTTTCACGGTGACTTCGCGAACGAACTGTTCACGGTGTGGTATCTCTGAGTTCTTCCGGCCAATAACTTCCGCGCGGCACGAAAGTTCTTGCGACACTGACGGTACAACGTGTTTGCCGTGATAATCCACGCTCAACTCACGATCTGTTCGCCGAGACCGCGCCATCGCCATACGAAACACCACGATGGATTATTCTGTAAGCATGTGGCGGGGATCAGGAGGCAATGCTGTATGGAAATTGCTCCCGGTTATAGATAGTTCCTCTTGATAATTGTGTTTCTACGCAAATCACCACTGCTGGCTAGACATGTGTAAATCATTCGTCGTAGTAAAAAGTAGGAAAATTATTTAATGTAGTAGACCACCTGATAGAACTAACACTGTCTGTTCAGTTTTACAACAGTTTTTATTAGAAACTGATTATATATTCGTTTCACTTAGATAAACAAGCACTTTTATGCTTCGAGATGTACGTAAGTAGGTATTTAGATTGAGTCGTAGCTTGTAATTATCAATAATTAAAACGTGAACTTTGTACACTTCAATGCAACAAAAGTCTCTTTATATACAGTCTAATAGAATCATTAATTAAAAAAAAAAGTTAATTGCACTTTGTCTCATTTTCGAAAGTTAATCTATCAAAATTATCCAGCCATTATTATAGATTAAATTCTAAAAATATAAGATCAAAAGGAACGGATCAATTGTACTTTTTGGGGGTATTGAACACGAAAACTATTATTCTAAATAATTAAAAATACTACATATATTTCTTATATTTATTAAGGAGTGTAGGATATTTTAAAATAATTGTGTAATGGCGCGTATGATATCCATAGATACATGCGCAGTCGAGAGTACAAGTAGCTTAAGATATTTGTTCTTGCGTGTAAGTTTGTTATTACTGGTCGGTTACAATTTCATAAAGTACCGAGAAATTCACGACGGTTAGACGTAATATTTTGACTGATCGATTAAAAATGCCAGGCACACCGATGAAGGATGAAAATGACGCATTGGAGAAGCTGCAAACAAGGGAACACCCTCCAAATGCGAATTGCGAACCCGTTGTACGGGAAATAACTCAAACCGATCGACTGAACAAGAAGTTGTTAGTATCGCTTCTGCAAAGAATGAACAAATCGAATGACGAGTTCGATAAATTTATGGAAAAAGGAAGTGTTGATCGTAATTCTCAAGACGATAGTGAATTTTAAGTAAGACTACAAATTCGTTTGTCGCAAAACATAACCTGCGTACCGTTGAGCGGCAAGATTACCGTTACGCTCGTGCGTAATTATTACGGCAACACCGTCGATCGAGGGAAAAACGTGGTTTAAGATTTTCTCTTGCATGAACTTGTATTTAAGGGTTTCCTAAGAACTTTTTATTGTTGAGAAAAGAATTGTGTTCCGTAAACGATAAAGAAAGTGAGAAAACAACTTGTTGAATATGCCGACCTTGTCTGATTACGAAAGTGAAGATGATATAATAGCTGAATATGAGAAACTTGATTCGAATATAGAACAGAATGAGGGTTCAGGGAATGAGGAAAATCAGGAAGAAAACACTCCAAGAAGAGTTGATCCTACAACTTCCTCGAAATATACAGTAAGAAACCCTTTGCCCAAATTGAATACAGAACGTTTAAAAGGTCCTAAAGGAATACAAACTATAGAAAAGTATTTTGAAGGGTTTAAGTTTCATGGGAAAGGACATGAGAAGTTAGATTTGGATAGGATCATGAAAAGAATGGAACATTGGGCACACAGACTTTTTCCAAAAATGGAATTTGATGGTTTTCTAGACAGACTAGAGAAGCTAGGTACCAAAAAAGATCTTCAGGTATTTATAAAGAAATATAGGCAAGACATGATTAACCCAGATGATGATGTGATAAATCAGGATATAATAGATGAGGAGAATGAGAAAGAACAAGATGAACCTACAGATGAATTTGATATATTAATTGCTGAACAAATAGAGAAACAGAAACAAGTTGTTAATAATCAGTCAACGTCTGATACATTAACGGCTGATGCTCTGTTTGATAAATTAATGTCGGAAACCAAAAGTAAAGCCTCTCAGTCTATTAAGGAAAATATTGGCCCTTCACAGTTAAGTGATGAAGTAAAAGAACGTATAGAAAGGAACAGGCAACAAGCTATTCAAAGAAGAACGGCAAGATTACATGCCATACAAGAAGAAGCTAAGAAAAAAAAGTTGGGTGAGAATATAGACACACAACCTGAAAATAATTTTAACAGTATGCAAGTATCTAATGAAACTCCAAGTTTAGAAAATAAAGATTTGCAAGAAGCACACAAGAATGAGAAAGGAGATTAGAAACCTTAAAATATATGAATACCACTGTATAAATTAGAAGATACTGAAAATAAATTTTATTACAAATTTTATAACTTCCCTTTGAAAATTTGTGTAGGTTCAATTAATAAAAATATAATACAAATTATACATTTATTTTTACTTAAGTTCTACGTTTTTGTGTACTAATATATAATACATTGTTACCACGAATAAAAGCATCTCCGTATTTGTCTTTTAATTGACCATTTACATACTCTTCTGTTTGTTCAAGTGCTATATTCATGTAACCATCAAGGCAAGCTAAAACACCTACAAAGTATAAATAATAATTGATTCATAAAAGAAAACTTTGTATATTAATGCACCTTCAAAAAAGAAATAAATGCCTAACCTCTATAATCTACACCACTGTTTAGCTTTACCACAACAGGACGTCCATGGATTTGTTGAATAAACTGAGACAATGCTTCTTTGCGACTCATCTGTAAATGAATATTACGTGCAAATATTTCTTTAAGATTTTTATATAAAAATGCAATAGTTAGATGAGGTTAGAATATTTATGTAGGTCTCACCTCGTAATTATTAACTTTCTATATAGTTTTTTACAAACTTCACGTATCAAAATTATAAAATTCAGAATACAGTCACTAGTATATAACGCTTACAAATTTTGAGATCCGTTTTATAAACAGCAGCCAATAGGTGACTAAAAAATATCTAAGTAAAGTACTTACTATATGTATTACATGCTTGGTGACTTTAATGTAGCTTAGTAATATTGTCGAAGTTAAATAAAAAATTATTACATTAGCATTTCTAAACGTACAAAAAAATTAAGAATATTCATGAAAACTGTTATTAATCTGTAGAAATTTCTCGAATATTCAACCAACTTTTTCTTGTACAATAATTCAACCAATCAAACAGTAAAACATCACTCATGAAATGCAGTAATCAAATGACAAATCTTAAGAATTATAAATATTCCGAATTTGATTGCCAAAAACATAAAACAAAAAAGTATATGAAAATTAATAGAAAGGATATTTTTAAAAGGACACAATTATTTTATAGCAGTAGTTTACTTTATAATTTCTATAAACATATAGAAAATAATGCAATATACATTATATATACACATATTTCCAAAAAGGAAAGTGTAATGTTATTTTAATTTTTTAATGATATTTATTAATCAACTTTCCCTTGTTTTCGTTATCATTTATACGTCGAATTCAGGTCGACACAAAGTGAAATCATTCAATATATGTTGGTCCTGGGCAGTCCTAAGCAGTCCTAAGTTTGTTCTCTATTCGTAACATAAACGACAGTGAAATGACAAGATCATAAAACATTCTAATAAACATGTAATATTCAAGTACATATTTAAAATTACATAAGTTTCTAGAACTTATCGTTATACGAAACACAAAGTGTATCGTTGATAGCATCATATTTCATATGTTCGACATATGGTTATATAGTCAAACACTAATTATATAAATTAGTGCCTCCATCAATCATTGATAGATATTGTTTTCTTGTAAATACTATTAAATTACTGTTATTATGGTATATTGGCTACCAAAGAAGCGCTTCAAAAAAAGGTACTAATAACAACTTTTTTGTTAAATATTATTCTCATCCTGTTATTGTACAAACCTTCTACCCATTTATAATTACTAATGTGTTAATCTCTTAATTTAATCAGCAATTTACAATAAAACAATTAAATCTCTAACAGAAATATTGAGTAATTATTCGCACGAGTTTTAAAATTGTGAAATTTAACAAGTTACAAAGTGATTTTTTTTATTTTAAAAACTCCCATTTAAAATTGTGTAACTAATGCAATACAGAAAACTTAATTTAAAATTTGTAAATGTAGTATGAAGGTAGTCATTTATAATATTTTATTGTAAAAGCATATTATAAATAAGTTTGCATAGTTGTGTGTTATTAAATATAAATGTAACAATCTTATAGGGTAATTAAATTTTTAAGAACAAAAAATATTGACTAATTTGATAATAGCATATGATCATTAGTATACATCAAGTAATAATTAATTTACTATTTTGTTCCCCTTTTATTTATTGACAATGATTCTGTCATTACAAATATCCATGTCAAATTATGTAACTTAATGATTTCATAATGATTTATAAAGTCTTCTCACTATTAGACAATGATATAAATTTTGATCTATACATGTGGATATAATTACACATTTGTATGAATAAGACAAATAATATTATATCTTTATTTCTTTTCATTTATTTTCATGTGCCATTATTGTACAGTAATTGCTTGAAACAATTTTTACACAAGTAAATTACCTTAAAAGGAGGAATTAAAAAGTTACCTTAGATTTGCTAGCTACTAACAAACATGTTGGCTACTTATCTACTATTAGGAGCAGTGACACCATTCATCATTCTTGATATTTGGTATAGAGGAATGTAAGTTGCTTTGCCATAAAATCATAATTCAGTTAGATATTTGTTGTTCCGAAATTTGTGTAAATGTTCTTACTTTTCTTTCTACGTCCAATATTTATTACAGTGATATTGTTGTTGATAATATTAATCACCATGAGTCAACACAATCCATAAAATGTATTAAAAAGTTAAATATTAATTAGAATTTTCATTATGTAATTATTTTGCTTTAATGGTAGCAGTTGTTGGTATAATGTATTGATTAAAAAAATGATTTAACAAGGCCATATTTCTTATTTGAAAAGAACTAACATGTAAAAATATTCTGAAACTTTGTGACTAACACTCATAACTAAACATTAAACATACATTAAAAGATTTTCATTACATAACTCAGCATCTCTTGATACTTATAAACTGTAAACATTACTTGTATAATGGATTTGCTTATACACATGGATGGTAGTGTAGTTGGCCAGTATTTAAAAAATTGAATCCATATACATATGTGGAAAAAATATTTATTAGTAATGTTATCTATTACATTAAACACATATAAATAATTGTGTGTGTGTATTTAATGTTTTTTATTATTGTGCATAGTTTTATATATGTAATTTCATTGCTTGTTTTGTTACACCAAATGTGATATTTCTTTTCTATCTTATCTTTCTTATTGTAGCATTCAATGTAAGCTATAAAACACCTAAAATAAACTGAAAAGTACATGCTCAATTGATAAAAACACATGAAATGTAAAATGAAAACAGTTTCATTTGCAAAGTTCAATTTGTGTGTTTCTGATCTATGTGTGAATTGATTGTTAGTTAAAATATAGTTGTGTACATCAAACTGCTATGAAATTAACAAGGTATAATTTCATAAATGTTTTATTACTTTCTTTGCAACTTTAAAAATGGCTTGTTACAAGAAATTGTAGTGTTTTTATATGTATATTTCTGTGTGTTACTCTCCTGCATGATACTAATACGAAACATTATTAAATTGTCCTCTAGAATGTGAAAATTAAAAATTCATATCATATAATAGTAATGTATATTCACCATTATTTTGTAAAACAAAAAAAATTAATTTTTTAAACACCTTCCTAAACTGTTGATGAAATATCATTATGAATTACAAGATTAATATGTATTGCAGATATTTGTTTTGGATAATGAAGGTATCAATAATTACATACCTTGTCATATTTGGGCTTTTACCCATTATATTTCATTACTCTTATACCATACAGAAGAGAATCCTTTTTTTAAATTTTGGTAAGAATTTAACTTTAAGCATACATTACATGCAAACTATTAGATAGTTTGTCTAAAAAAGTGTTTCATTTACTTTTCTTCATGATTGTTTTCATATTTTCAGTAAACTGGCCTCTTAATGTAGATTTTTCAAAACCAGAGTCAGTTGGAATGAGAGGTGCAAGAAACTTTTATTTAATAACTGATCAACAAGTAAAAATAGGTGCATGGTGGGTAGCAATGTTCAAGTAAGTTGTATTTGTTATTCAACTACAATATACAGAATGTATTTTTAGGCAAGTACTACCCCATTCTTTGTTAGATGATTCCACTCTTGCAACTGATGAAGATTACGAGACAGTATTAAGCAATGCCAAGCAACCCGTTTTTCTTTATATGCATGGTAATAGTGGCAATAGAGCAAGTAGTCATCGTTTGGAACTGTATAAACTTTTTCAGTCATTAGATTATCATGTTATATGCTTTGATTATAGAGGTACGTGAAACACATTGAAATTGTTAACATTAACAGCTATTTGTTCACTTCATAAGTTTATATTTTTTTTATAAATTTAGGCTATGGTGATAGTGAAGAAGCAGAACTTTCTGAAGTGGGTGTAGTGGCAGATAGTAAATATGTACTTGAATGGTTACTCAATAAAGTGAACGGTTCAATATCAAGAAGATTACGTGAACTACACAAATTATTTTGTTATTTACAGTGTTTCTACTCATGTATTAGCATTATTAGCAGCAAAAAATATTCAACCTGCAGGTTTGTTCTTGGAATCACCATTCAATAATATTGCAGAAGAATTAAGTGAACACCCATTAGCACAGGTATTTTATATTACGTAAAAGTATTGTACATACAATATTGCAAAATATGCACTTTAATCTTTTTTACCAAGATTTTTAAACATTTACCTTGGTTCCATTGGGTAATTGTTGAATCATTTTACAAGAATAATCTCCGTTTTGAATCAGATAAACACATAAAAAATGTTCAATGTCCTGTTATGATATTACATGCTGAAGATGACCATGTTGTACCATTCTTTTTAGGTGAAAAGGTATGCAAATATTTTAGATTAGAATTTTGTAATGATCTATGTATGATAAACTTTGTATTCGTATTTCCAGTTGTATGAAGCAGCTATAAGTTACCATGGTAACAATACCAATCTAGTTCAGTTTATACGAATAGATTCATCACACGGTCTTGGTCATAAATATATATGTCGCTACAAAGAACTACCAAATGTGATTAAGTAAGTCTTACCTACAGTTTCATTACAATATTGATAATACGTTTCAATAATATTGTATAAAACTTTATTTCAGATCATTTGTAGCGGGACCACATAAAAATCAGACTGAGTAAATTATTTAGCGAGGGAATTATTACCTTGCAAAATGTATTTTTACAATAGATATTGATAGATGGCTACTAGTAATAATAGAACATGCTCTTGAAAACATTCTGAATGTTTTTTGTTTGTGTTAGATATTATTTTTAATATACTAATTGTTGCACAATTTGTCATGTTAAATTTTTGATGAGTTCAAAATATTCAAATAAATAATTATTCATTATTACTTAAAGTTTCAATGCACATAAAATACATTGAAACTTTAGTTCATTTATCTTTGCTTTAATACATAATATTTTATTCAAGGATGCAAGTACAAAGATTTATACATACTATACATAGGACAGTGTTGTATGGTAATTGAATCAATACTATGATAGCTATTTTAAGGCCATCAACAGTATTTATTATTTTGTATTTATCACTTAATGACACTTTTACAAATCCATGACTACTCAGCAATTCTAAGTTCTATAAAATATAGCAAACAAGAGTATTCTTGTCAACGAATGTGTGTATTACAATATTTCTGTGTTAGTATATTTCATGTTTTTTACATAAATGAATTAATAAAAAAAGATGGTGATATTATGTCGTATTATTTGTTCAATTCCTCTGAACTGATATTGTGCATTAACAATTGCCAGTTGTACAACAAAGTTATTGCGTTTAATATTGTTTTTATGAATATGTATATGTATTATTATGTACATTTGAGTAAATTATTTTATTATTCCATTGTTATTACAACAGTTTAACAGTGACAACGAACGCATGTATATTTTCAAATATCGGACTAATTGTATATTTTTATTCTATATTATTACATAGGTGGTCTATGGGAGGAGGTGTGCGAGCGAGAGAGTACGGTAGAGCGTGCCGCGGTATCGGTGCTCTCCGTCGGTGTTGACGCGTGCCGAGGAATTTCGGTGGTCTATGGGGGGAGGTGTGCGACCGAGAGAGTACGGTAGAGCGTGCCGCGGTATCGGTGCTCTCCGTCGGTCCAACGCGTTAGTGACGTTGTGGTCGTCAAGGAAGGTCGTTCAAGCCGGCAAAAACAATTCAACAGGAACAAACCTGCGTACGCCCAATACATAACGGCGTTAGCTTCCTCACTTTCTCGTGAACCGTCGCGAAGGGTGGTCGCGCGTCTCGTACTCGTCCTTTCTCTTGTTACTAACCCATTTGTTTGTTGCAGGCATTCGACAACCATCAATTTATTTATTGTGCATATTGTTGTGTCCCCTTTCTTGTTACTAATCCCTTGTATGTTACAGATGTTCGAGAACCATTGGCTTTGATATTTATCTTCTTATGTACTGTGATTTATTTACTGTGATTTTTTTACTGTGATTTATTTACTGTGCATATTATTAATCTATTTACTGTGCATATTGTTGTGTCCCCTCTCTTGTTACTAATCCCTTGTATGTTACAGATGTTCGAGAACCATTGGCTT